TGAGATCAGTCTGACTTAACGGAATTGACTTTGATACGGATAAAGTCAGAAAGGTCTCTTTTGTTTTCAGTGGATTTGAACTTGGAGTTAGTTCATGTACTCTTGACTCTTAACCGGTTATAGATCGCAAATTGCCAGTCAAATTTACTCATCTTCCATCTATACACTTATACATAGTTGCCATCAATTCTCACTTTCTTGTTCGCTCAGTTTTCTTTCTTTGCCAAGTTACCTCCTTTGTATTAAGTTCATACTCGGTAATGATGTACCGATTATATGGTGCAACCTTGTACCAAATTCATTTGTCTGTGAAACAACTCATCAAAATCTTTGCTGCAGAGAAAACAAAAACCTTACAGGCACTGCTCGTTATGCAAGTGTGAACACTCACCTTGGAATTGGTGAGTCATGTTACTTCTGTGGCACAACTAGGAACATTGAATCATATATAATAGATGCAAGTTTCCTTCTTTCTTTTTATTAATACTATCTTCTCTTTCATTGGCAGAGCAAAGTCGCAGAGATGATTTGGAATCCCTTGGTTATGTGCTTATGTATTTCCTTAGAGGCAGGTTGTTTATATGATCGCCCCATGCTATTTCATTCAGAGTTTTATGCATTTCCGATGAATAATGTTTAATTTTTTCTTGTTACTGAATCTTCATTCTTGGTTTTCCTTCACATTGATTTTGATTTTAATTCAGTTTGCACAATTTCTCTGCTTCAGTCTTCCTTGGCAGGGGCTAAGAGCTGGCACGAAAAAGCAAAAATATGATAAGATTAGTGAAAAGAAAGTCTCAACTCCTGTAGAGGTGTGTTTACTTACATCATCCTTAGACAAACTGGCTTCCTTTGGAAAATTCGATTGATTTTTACTAACCTGGTGTAGGAATTGCTAGTGCTTTATCTGTCTCTGTCTTTGGCCAGGATTGATATTTGTGGCTCGCCCTGTCCCATTTTTATGAAATGTTCAATGATATCCTTTTTTAAGCAATTTGAATTCTTTGATGATACATTGTTCTTCATGAATTGATGCTTCGATAAATAGTTTTGAGATTCCTTTTCTTTTGAGATAAGATTAATGTAAAAGGCAGAGAATTAAATTATTTGATTTTATTGTGGTGAAGTTTAATTTTGACTTAACTAGTAAATGGAACGTGTAAGGTAAAAATTTGATAAAGGGAATACGGACATAAGGCTAAGTTAATGTTCTCATGTGGTCCCAAGATTTCAGTGTTAATCCATCGTATGATTATTATTTTTTATTCGTTGTTGAGTAACATTGGTGTATGCATGTTTAACAGGTACTATGTAAGTCATATCCATCTGAGTTTGTATCGTATTTTTACTACTGTCGTTCATTGCGGTTTGAAGATAAACCAGATTATTCTTATTTGAAGAGGCTTTTCCTAGACTTGTTTATAAGAGAAGGTTAGATATCATCATTGTTGCTAATTCCTATGTAGCCTGTGTTCTTCTCTTTCTTCATGGAATGTGAAGTTTGAATCCCCCCCCCCTCTTTAGTCGGTTGAAAAACTCATATTGCTGCAGGTTATCAATTTGACTATGTTTTTGACTGGACCGTATTGAAGTACCCACAGATTGGTGGAAGCTCCAAAGGGCGGGTAAGTGCTTATAAACTTCTTGCGGTCAGTTACCGTCATCTCAAGAATATCACTCAGTTTTTCCATCTGTTTCTCAGCACTCCAGTGGAAGAGCAGGTTTAACTGCAGGAGCAGCCATTGAAAAACCAGAAAGAATCTCAGGTTTTCTTTGTTTTAAAAGACTAGATTTCTTCTTAGGTTGTATACTCGTATACCTTTTTTCGTGGAACTCAACTATTTGATACTGAACTATTTGGCTTACAAGGTGGTCATGTATTAACTATTATGATGTTAAACTAGCCTCTATGCATTCATTTTTCGGAATCTCTTATGGGTTATTCCACTTGATAACAACATTCAGTGGGAAGAGAGATTCGGGATAGATTCTTCGGTGCCGTTGAAGCATTTTCCAAAAGAAATGTTTCAAGTACTAGCCCTCATCGTGATCATTCTAGACACAAGACTGCTGAGGGTGCAACATTATCAAAGCATGTGGTGAGCTTTAATTTCCAGTCACAATTTTCTTTATCTTAGCCTATGCCTTGTTTACTGTTTCAGTGCATTATATGATTAACTGACATTATAACAACAATCTCTTGTTTCCGACACCCTAATCTCCGGTTTCCTATTTTCAGCAACCAGATTCAGAAAAAAGACGCAGTTCTTCTCGGTATGGTAGCACTTCAAGGAAAGCTGTAGTAGCAAGCAGGCCTAGTTCGTCCGGTGAACACAATGACATATCGCAAAACCGGCAAGTATCCAGTGCCGGTCGCCTGTCTACCGCACAAAGATCCCAAGTTGCCTTTGAGTCCAAAACATCCAGTCGTGCTGCTGCTGTTAGAGGTATCCGTGATGATCACCCTCACCCTCTTCGAAGTTTTGAGCTCCTCTCGATAAGAAAATGATAGAGCAGTTTATCAGTTGTAAGCCGATGTTTTCAAGAACTTCCGATATCGGTTGTCGACACCTTACTTCGTCCAACATCTTTCGATAATCTTATTCGTGAAAATGTCGAATCGGATTACTAGATTGATTCTGTTTTCGGCTTAGTTCGGTGTTCATTTTAATTTGCTTAAAGGCAACCCAACTTTTGTAATTCCATGGTTAAATTTCAGTAAGCAAAATTCGAGGTTCGTGTTTGGTACACCTTTTGGAATCCATAAACTTCTATATTATCCCCACCACAGTCAGAAACAGGAGTTTAAACGAGTGGAATCAAGTTCGAGTTTTATTGAGTTCAACTTGATTTGAAAACTCTCTAAAATAAAGTTCAACTAGAAATGGAAATTCACAAGTTAAAAATTTTCAAACTCTACTTGAAAACTGAACCATATATATATATGGATAAACTACATAAATGGCCACTGAATTTTTAGGATATTTGCATTTTGATCACCTAACTTTTATAATTTGTAATATAGTCATTAAATTTTTAATTCGTTTTCCAAAAGACCCCTTATGTTTTCTCTTATTAGTTTTATCTGATACGCTACCTTCCGTCAACCCCTTCTTATTTTTTTCTTCTTTTTCTTCTTCTACTTAACGATCCCACCAACAATAAAAAAATGACATGAAGCTAAAAGACAAGAAGGATAAGGACACTATGGCTTAATTTGTTTTCACTGTGCAAGCTCTTCAAACCACTTATGTCTGCGCCGCGCAGACATTAGGCTTCGCAGACTGTTTGTTTTTTATAAGACAGAAGCTCTTCAAACGTCTGCGCGTGCTCTTCTTGGTGCAGACATGATTTTATGTCTCCAAAGGTCTTCAAACCTCTTCAAGAACAATTATAAAATATAGCTATTTATTAAAATAATTTTAAATAATTTAATAAGGTTATTTATTTTAAAATAATTTATTTTAAAATAATTTATTATAAAATATGGATTGACTTTTAAAATTTATTTTAAATAATTTATTAGTATGGATTGATTTATTTTAAAATATTGATTGATTTATTTTAAATAATTTATTAGTATGGATTGATTTATTTTAAAATATGGATTGATTTATTTTAAATAATTTATTAGTATGAATTGATTTATTTTAAAATATGGATTGATTTATTATTGTAGTTGTATGAATTGATTTATTTTAAATAATTTATTAGTATAGATTGGTTTATTTTAAAATATGGATTGATTTATTTTAAATAATTTATTAGTATAGATTGATTTATTTTAAAATATGGATTGATTTATTTTAAATAATTTATTAGTATGGATTGATTTATTTTAAATAATTTATTTGTATGGATTGATTTATTTTAAAATATGAATTGATTTATTATTGTAGTTGTATGGATTGATTTATTTTAAATAATTTATTAGTATGAATTGATTTATTTTAAAATATGGATTGATTTATTTTAAATAATTTATTATTGTAGCTGTATGGATTATTTAAATTTCAGTATTGTAAAACTAAAATTATTTAAATCTCAGTATTACAAAACTCTTTTAAGTTTAAAAAATCAGTTTATTTATATTTCAGTTCATTTTAGCAGTCTGCATATGTTAAAAAACAAACAGTATTCTTCTCGTAGACTGCAGACTTTTGATCCACCTCTTCTGCTGCAGATGCCTGCAGATATAATCCGCAGAGTGCATACCTTTTACCTATGAAAAAACAAACGCCACCTATATACTTTCATTCTTCTTTTTTGTCAATCGAAATTCGAAGGTTGAAGAAGAAACAAAGAAGCTGACATACTTGGCATTTGTGCAAGTAGCCAAATCCATTAAGTTCTGTTGTTCACCAACCTCTACACTAACCTAAAGCAAAAGTCAGGGCTCTTGAAGCATATTTTTGAGATAGCTGAAAGAATAATTAAAATTTTACTCGGAACAATTTTCGATAAGCTCTTTGATACCCTTTACAAGCGACTCAAATCTGTTGATGACAAGGTAAAGCCTTTGTTCATTAAATTTGTTGATGATGTATGAGAAAATGAAAGGAGATTTAAGAATTCTTCTTTATTTTATTGTAGGTTGGTGAATTTGTGACTAAAATGGATAGACTTGTACCTTCAATTATCGAGCAGGTTTTATCCAAATTCATCTGTACTGTCCGAGATGCTTTAGAAATGACTGTCGATGTGCATATCGCCTTCAGATTCCTCGAGCAGATCTCATCCAGCGCCGTCCCGACTGTAGAAGGTGTGACTAGTAGTCAAGTTCAACATTCTGAATTGGTGAGTTCTGCCTCAAGAAGAATGAAAGCATCTTGTAACACACCAAAAATCCCCCAAATTAAACCCTAGAATTTGAGAAATTTTGACTTAAATTCCTAAATTAAGAATAATGACCAAATTGTAAATTTAAAAGTTTGGAGCCGTTTCAAAACCTTAGGAAGTTTGGTGGCTTTCTTTGTAATTAATCCATTTTTGTTTAAATCGAACTCCTCCCCGATTATAATACTGTGCGGCGCGCCTTAGAATCTCCCCCACCGTCGCCGTCAAACACCCAAGGTAAGGTCACCGGACGTTCTTGAGACCCTCGTCGCAATCTCCATCCTTCTTTTTGTTGATTCCGAACAGAAGTTATAATCAAACAAGGAATTCGCTATCTTTAGCAACCAGGTCAGCCACTTCAATCGGTGCTTCATCATATTGAATCAAACCAATCGGGTTTCCTCTAGCCATGCTCGCAAACTTATCGGCAACTTTATTCGCCTCTCGGTAAATGTGATGAACCTGAACTTGCCATTCCTTCTTCAGTAAATCCTTAATCAGAACCAGCAGGGGTTGACCTTCAACGGCAATCTCCATCCTTTTCCTGTCGTCGTTGAGCAACTTTGGGTTGTGAAACCCACGAACCGTGGTTCGCGTCCGCCGTCGTTGAGGCCTAGTTTCGGCAGTTTATGGCCTTGCGCGGCAGGCGTTCGCAAGAAGAAGGACTAGCCTGGTCGGGGGCTCTCCAGGGAGGCCCCCGTCGGGCCTGTTTGTTTGCTGCCGCCGTTTGGAAGCATATGGGCACTGTGGCCGGCTGTTTTAGGCATCGGCAAGGCCGGCCGTGACATTTCCTACCGTTGGGAACTGCTGCCGGTGAAGTTCGTCTCCGGCAGTCCCATTTTTCCGATCTGACAGATCACTAGATTCGAACCAAACTCTCTGTCGGATCCCCGTTCGATTCGGAAATAATTTTAATGTCGTCTCTAATTATTATTTTGTTCTGAGTTGGTTTCTGTTATCGGTTTAGCAGATATAGAGCCCCGTTATCGCCACTCTCTTCTTTACACTGCTATTCGCTGCCGCAATCGAGATCTTTAGCGGCGGAGGTACGCGCTGTTATCCCGAAATAGCTGCGTCTATATTTCTATCCACCGCTGTTTGAAACACTAGTAGGCAGAGGAGTTGCTGCCCGGAGAAACCACCGAAATGGGGAAAAGAAAGAAAAAGAGAAAATATTCTGAAAAACCATACACATCGGACCAACTGGTCCCCGTCCCCATCGCCTCCCCCACTCCTCTTGCTAATTTATCCCTCAATTCTGTAAGTTTTTTCTTTTTCTTTCTTTCTTTAGTTGCACTATTTTTTCATTCTAATAAAAATTGAATTTCGGGTTACAGGTGTTGCTGTATAGTTGGTGGTTGTGAACGGTGAAGTCCCGAGGTTTAGCTGTCGGAGGGTTTGAATGCAGAGGGTACCCTTGATAACTTGTCCTTTAATTTTTTGTTCTTTTCATTTCTATAAATATGCATATTCAAATATCAGTAGGAAAGACAAGGAGGGATTTACTTTTTATCTCAAGCACATGGATTTAAATAGCTGTTGTGTCCATCGCTACTGCACAAATAGCCGGTGCCGTGATTGCGAATATCACGGTCATGCAAGGTTTTGGATGGCACCACTACCCCTATTTAAGGGGCGTTATTGTGATAGCGGATCGCTATTTAAATCCCTGCTCAAGCATACTAGTTAGACATAACACATTTGTAATTTTTTATGAAAAGTTGTTTTTGTGTAATGGCTTTTTAATAGTTGTAATGAGGTAATGGATGACAAACAGGAGACAAGGACAAAGAGTGTTGTACTCGGCAGCCAACGCCAAAAGACATGATGCCACCACTCTTGAAACTGCCGATGGCATCATGGTTGCTATCAGCGGCTTATCAATAGCTCTCGTACACTTGAAAATGGCTTTTCACCTAAGGTCGAGTTTCTCATTGCGCTGCTATTAATGCTTATCCTATTAATATTTGCCAACAATGTCATCTTATCACATCCCTATGCTTGAAACTGCCGATGGCATCACAGTTGCTATCAGCGGCTTCATCAATACCTCTTGTACGCTTGAAAATGGCTTTTCATCTAAGGTTGAGTTTCTCATTGCACTGCTATCCATGCTTATCCTGTTTATTTGCCAACAATTTCATCTTATATTATCTCTAGTAGTAATACTATACTATATTATCTTCTTTAAACCCTGCCTTTGCTTGAACTTTTTGCATCTTTGGTACATCTAATTATCTAAACCAATTTGTTTATTCTGTTTCTCCGTTTTGGCAAGAATTGGAGCTCAAATTTCTCGATCTTAACCCCTTGCAGGTTTGCAGCTATTTACTTTTTGAGTTTCCATTTGAGTGGGAGGAATATGCATCACCTTCAGAAGGTTGTTCTTCTAATGAAGAATCTGTTTGTCATGGAAGCTGTGCAATTTCTTCCCTGCCACCTTTAGACAAGCTCCCTGTCCCTGCTGCCAGGATGCGCAATCTTCTGATGTTTTCTGCCGGAGACTCTCGAAAATTGGTTTTCAATCACATGCTGCAGAAATTGAGCTCCCATGATTTCAAAACACATTTATTACTGTCGATTCAAACACGGGAAGTAAACATCCGGAAGTACGTCCTTATTCTGCTGCTGATGGTGAAAATTCAAATTGCAAAAAGAAGGTTAAGGTTATCGAGAATGATAATAATACGTCGTGTTCAAGGAGTAAAACAAAAGCGGAATCCAAGGAGGAGGATCAGTTGAGGATTGGCGTAGGCAGCATTACTCAAACTGTAGGTGTTACAACCAGAAGCATGATACGGTTTAAGCAGAAGAGAGATTGCCTTCGTTCATCAGACTTCCAAGAGAAAAGCATTGCAGGGAAAATCTACAATAAACATGAATTAGTATTGTAGCACTTCAAGGAAAACTGTAGTAGCAAGCAGACCTAGTTCGTCTGGTGAACACAATGACATCTCACAAAACCGGCAAGTATCAAGTGCCGGTCACGTGTCTACTGCACAAGGACCCCAACTTGCCTTTGAGTCCAAAACATTCAGTCATGCCGCTGCTGTTAGAGGTAGCCGTGATGATCACCCTCACCTCTTCGAAGTTTTGAGCTCCTTTCGATAAGGAAATGATGGAGCAATTGATCAGCTGTAAGCCGATGTTTTCAAGAACTTTCGATCTCGGTTGTAGACATCTTACTTCGACCAACATCTTTCGAAAATTTTATTCGTGCAAATTTCGAATTGTATTACTAGATTGATCCTCTTTTCGGCTTTAGTTCGGTGTTCTATTTAATTTGCTTAAAAGCAACCCAATTTTTGTAATTCCATGGCTAAATTTCAATAAGCAGCATTCGAGGTTTGTGTTTGGTACACCATTTGAGAATCCATAAAGCTTATATATTACTCTTCCATTCAGAAACACTAGAGGCTAGAGAGCCCAAGACACGAATGGCCGTAGATGGGCAAGAAGGAAATCCAACGGTTAAGCATCACTCAAAACAATACTAAATAATTTTCATTAGTCGGGCTGAGCAACGAAACCGAGAAAATCGAAAAATCGACACGAATCGAATAAAACGGTTCAGTTCGATTCGGTTCGGTTTAAAGTCTTCATTTTTTTGATTCAGTTCGGTTCGAGTTTTTCATATGGAACCCATTTTTCCATATTGAACCGAATAGATAATTTTTCTTAAAAAAATTATAGTTTCAAGTGATTTTTTATTGAAAAACCGATAAATCGAACCGAAAAATTGAACCGTTAAAAAATTGAACCGAACCAAAAAAACCGATTTCAGTTTTTTCGATTTTTTAATCATTTAATTTCGGTTTCGGTTTAGATTTAAATTTTAAAAAATCATTTATTTCGATTCGATTCAACTTTTGGTAAAAGATCAAACCGAATCGAACCGAATACACCCTAACCAAACGGATAAGAACTACGGATGAGATGACCAATGGTCAACCCAAGTAGACCGTATAATAATCCTTTTTGACTTTCTTCTTCCTTATTATTAATTATTATCATTTTTATCGAACATAAACTGTTCGAGGTAAATGATTCTCTAAGTTTCGTTTTCATGGCAAAACGGGTTGTATTTCGAAGAATTTGATGTTTCACTTTATTCTTAAATTGACGTGTTAGGGTTTCGGTGAAAGGCGTGGTTTAATCGGTGAATTTATACTTCCGGTGAGGAAATAAAAAAGATCGTCTAGTCCTTTTTAAAAACCGGAGTTAAGTTTTGTAATAATTATTATTTCTATTATTTCTACAGTTTCGTAAGTCACCTAGGCTTTAGAAGCGCTTTCCCTCGGTTATAAAATTCTTAAAAGTGAAGTGGCGTTGGTTTCTTTTGACTGGTGAGTTTGAAGAATTGAAAGAGTTAGGGTTTTAGAGTGGTTGATAAGGTATGCGAGATGCCATTATCTTTAAAAATGGAGATTGATACAGCGGAAGATGTTACCTGTTTGGATCCCGAGCTTTTGCAGCTTCCTGAAGTGTCTCCATTTGCACTAAAAACCAGTCCTCATCTTGTCGATGATTTGTTCTCTCAATGGCTTTCGCTTCCAGAGACCGGCAATCTGGTACATCACTTTTTTATAAAATAAATAAATAAAATTAAACTGTTGTTACACTTGATTTGTCTTTATATATGTTTTCCCAATAATTTGTACATGTTAGATTTTGGTTTCAACTTTTGTTGGCTTCCTATTGTTGAATATAACGTCTAATATTGTTAATTCTTGTAATTTATTGCAACCTAGCTCAACATTTTGACTCATAGTCATGGAGTAACTTATTTGGTAGTTGCTTATGGTAGTAATTGCAAATACTTTATTTGAGTCATATTAATGTCATTAGTTCTTGGTAATAGATTACAAAATTCGTGTGTATTAACATGGTATTCTACAGACACAACGTGTTACCTATAAATTTATGGTAGAATTTTGAATGATTTTGAGATTTTTTATCATTTAAATGGCTATGATTGGAATAATTTTGACTTCCCTTAATGGCCGGAGTTTTCTGCTGTTAGGTCATTTTCTTTTCCGTTTGCCGGAGTTTCCTTTGCTAGCAACTTTCCTTTATCAATATATGAATATTTTTGTCTTGCAATGAGCCTTTATTTTTTGAGAACAGGTGAAATCTTTGATTGATGATGCAAAGACGGGGGCTGCTGTAAATGCCTGTGCAAACTTTTCTAATGCAAATGCTGTTGGGAGCAATTCATTGCCTTCCATGTTTTCCAGTGTCAGTGCACCTCCACTTTCTCCAAGAAGCTCATCTGGTTCTCCTCGCTCATCAAAGCAGAAATCCAGCCCTTCAGCCCTTGGCTCTCCATTGAAATTAGTTTGTGAACCAATAAAACAAGTCATTCCACAGGTTTGCTCGCTACTGGAAGTCCTCTTCCAGATATTGTTATCTTGAGAGCTCTCTTGCATATGTGGCTTTGGATTTTTACCACCAAAAGTTGCTAAAATGTACTTACAAAGGCTGTCTGATAATTGCTTGCAGTTTTACTTCCAAAATGGTCATCCTCCTACAAAGGAATTGAAAGAACAATATATTTCAAAAATTAATCACCTTTTCGATAATCCTCTAAATGGATTGAAAATAAATGGTGAGATATACAAATGATCTTTATCTGTTCGTTTATATTTTAAATAGTATTCTCCCCTTTGCATTCTTCCAGTTATTAAGGTTTAACCTCCCCCCGCCCTTGAAAATTGAACGAAATTATCTTTTCTCTGGCTATACAGAATATAAAACAGTGACAAAGGAAGTTTGCAAGCTACCATCTTTCCTCTCTTCCTCGCTTTTTAGAAAGATAGATATAGACTGTGTGGGATTGGTGACCAGGTATGCACTCTATTCATCTATCTATAAAGATGAATAGTTGTTCTATGTGAAGAATAACTCTGACTGCTGAAACACCATGGTGAATGACCAGGTATGCACTCTATTCATCTATCTATAAAGATGAATAGTTGTTCTATGTGAAGAATAACTCTGACTGCTGAAACACCGTCTGGTGAATATACTTGGTAGATGGGATTGACTGCATTTTCATTCAACAAATGCTTCTATCATTAATTATTAAGTTGAACGCTTTGTTTCAGAGATGCTTTCATTAAGTATTGGGTGGATGGCAATATGATGACAATGGATATAGCAACTCAAATATTTGAAATTCTTAAGCGGCCAGGCTGCAGATTCCTCACTCAGGTTTGTTTTGCACTCTACCACTTAGGTTTTCCTTGTGTTTGCTTTGAAAAATTGTCTTGATTAACACTTGTTCTGTTAAAAGTATCCTTTTGAAGGCCTAAATTTTCATGTATTTGACACTTTTCTTCATGATCATTTGGGATTTGGGATGCAGATTGACTTCAAACCTGTTGTCCAAGAGCTTTTGGCAACCCATCCAGGATTAAAATTCTTGCGAAATACACCTGAATTTCAAGATAGATATGGTATGCATTTGATTAATTGTGAGTTATTTTAATAATGTCTATAAAGTTGTGAATATTTCCTTTTTCCATGTGTTTTCTTTTTTGAAATTATTCAGGCAAATCTAGATTAGTTTTTGAACATACAATATCCTAGCTAATTTGAATGCAGTTTATCCCATTGATTGATTCAATCTTAAGGACGGTGATGTTGATTGGAGAACACCATATGCTCATAATTTATCAAGGACTTGTATGCATAGTTGATAGTACACAACATATGTCTAATGTTCTTATAGTCTCCTTGAACCATCTTACTTTTTTTTCTTTAAAAAAAAGAAGACTAAAATAGGATTAAACTTTGGGAGGTTTCTATGTCAATGAATTTTCTGAATGACTCAAACTGAATTAATATAATTGAAATCTAATCCTAAGCCTTGCCCTTGTTGGTTGACAAGCACTCAGAAGTCAGAACATTGTTTTTTAACAGCAGCTAATTCATACATCCCGAATTTAGCTGGCAGGCTGAACATGTTCATGCCAATTTTATATTTTCCTGTGGAAATCTCATCAAAAATTGAATCTTGAACCTCATGATAAAAAAAATTAGAGCGGTTATCAAATGAGAAATGTATAGCTGGTGAAACTCTCAATTTAGTAACCAGGATAATAACCACAGATTCTATGCAGTTTTTTTACAATAATTATGTGATTAAGAGCTAGTAAATAAAGGGACCTAATGATGGGAATTGTCATTCTTGATTCTCAAGACAACATATTTGATTCAGGAATCGTTATCACTTAATTTAAAATTAAGGGAGAAGATGGAATTGGGGAGGGGGGACCATTCTCTCTGCATTGTTGGGATGATAAATGTCTCTAGAAGAGTTGATTTTGTTATAACAGTTTTGGGGGGGGGGGTAACAGGGACCATTTTATTCATTTATGTTATTTTTGATTCACCAATATTTGGACATTCTATTCTGCGCAACTGATACTGGACAATATATATTTCTTTGTTAATGTTTCAGCTGAAACTGTCATATACAGAATCTTTTATAACTTGAATAGATCGGGAAATGGCAGTCTTACCCTCAGGGAGCTCAAACGTGGAGAACTGATTTCTGCCATGCAACATGCAGATGAGGAAGAGGACATAAACAAAGTCCTCAGGTTAGTTTCCGGGTGGAATTATTTACAGTATATGTGCTTTCTTTATTGAAAGCAGTGGCATACAAAACCTTTCACACCAAACAGTAATTATGTAAAACCGAGGCTGGACCATCTCTGTCTACTGTTTTTACTTGGGTGGTAAAATCAAGGAAATTATTTCCCCTTGCTCTCCTGAATGTTCAGTTAACAATTGAACATTGTGGAGAGCTGGGTTTATTAAATTGTTGTCATGTGATTTACTAATGTTGTAAATTATACATCTTTTAGGTACTTCTCGTATGAACACTTTTATGTTATATACTGTAAGTTCTGGGAGTTGGACACAGACCATGATTTCTTCATCAACAGAGAAAACCTCATCAGATATGGCAATCATGCCCTTACCTACAGGATTGTCGATAGGATTTTTTCACAGGTCAGTTTTCCCTGGTTCTGGGAGTTAGACTCTATTTTCAAATACAATATAAACCATTTCCTATTTATGATGTTGCTTTGGCCGAAATCCTAAATGCATGAATTCCCTCTCAGGCTCCTCGGAAGTTTACAAGTGAGGTAGAAGGGAAGATGGGTTATGAAGACTTTGTTTACTTTATGCTTTCAGAGGAGGACAAATCATCTGACCCTAGTCTTGAATATTGGTATCTTTACATTTGTTTTTAAATCTCCCATTTCCAAAATGAATTACACTACAGAGTTTTACTTATT